CTGCACACCTCATGTGCCTGCAACCAAGGTCCACGCCCTTGACCAGAATCAAACCTGGGACTTTTCAGTCCACAGGCTGATGCTGTTTTAACTTTTTGTTAAAATATATTTTATTGATTTCAGAGATGAAAGGAGAAGGAAAGAAAGATAGAAACATCAATGATGAGAATCATTGATCAGCTTCTCCTGCACACCCCCCTCTGAGGACTGAGCCCATAACCCTAGTATGTGGTCTTGTTTGGAATCAAATCTGGAACTCTTCACTTGCAGGCTAATGCTCTATCCTCTGATCCAAATCAGCTAGGAAAAGATTTAACTTTTAATTTCAGTTTCCTCCTTAGCAAAATGAGATTAAAGTGTACAGGGAACTTTAAGAGATGATTACAAAGGTGCAGATTACATAATGGATATTAATAGGATTAGTCCCCTCTAGCCTGCAGGAATAAGAGGATATCCCATCAACCAGACTTCTTTCCCCCCCATTTTTTTTTTTATTAAGGTATTATATGTGTACATGTCTTACCATTGCCTCCTCACCCCTCCACTCCCATACATGCCCTCACCGCCGCCCCCCAGACTTTTGCGTCCATTGGTTATGCTTATATGCATGCATACAAGTCCTTCATCAACCAGACTTCTGAACATTCTCATACCTCCACTCTGGTCCACATGTCTCACCTCCAGGGAGGAACCTTGGTGGGTAAGGTCTTAAAGAGATAAACCCTTCTTATGGTATATATAGGCCAGAGTCACATTATTAACCATTTAACTGGTAGGAGCCTGGCTTCTTGGAAACACGCTTCAGGGACTCTCTCAAAGGAGCAGGCTCCAGGTAAGCCGGGAGTCGGGATGATACTGGTGCAGGAGGTGGGAGCAAACTGAGAGCCATGAGGTATTGCTCCCTGCCCTTGGCTTTCTGGGTGGCTACTCTGGCAGGGCCTTGACTTTACCTCGTAAGCTAATCATATCTTGGATTCAGGTTATATTAAGACATATGCTTTTATTATTGCTAGTGTCCCTAAATTAGCCTTGCCCTATGTCATTTAAATGCTTGTTAAACATATAGATACTGGGATTGCAATCTGACCTAAGGGGTGCCAAAATCTGCACATGCACAGTGCCCTAGCAGGCTGGTCTGAAGCTGCCTGTGGGATCCTCTTCTAGGATGTCTGGTGTCAAATTCTTTTTATTTAAAACTAGAGGTTCCAAGAGGTTTACCTAATTGAAGTATATGCTGACACCAAACTGAAAGGGAAGTTGAGTGTTATTTTCCCGTTTCATGTGTCTCTGAAAGAATAGGGGATTAAAAACCTTTGTATCTCTGTTTATTTTGAATTATGCCTCTGTAGGTCTTTCAATAGACATGACAACACAACAAATGATTTTAGTTTAGGTGACCCGCCCCTTAATTGTACCCCTGGTGGTATATTCCCGAGTCAGAAAATACTAACTTATAACATTATAAGATAATGTTACTATCTGAACATTAGTTCCATCTCATTATTTAATAATGAAATTTATTTTTTTTAATTTAAAACCAAATAAAAGCTTAACTTTGAACCATGGGAAAAAACAAACAAACAAAAAACATCTCCACTTTCACAGGCAGACAGTTCGGACCTGAAATCCAGACCACATAACCTACAAGCAGATGGAACTTAAATGCCAACCTTGGTCTTCCTTTAATATTGATTTGTCTCCATAGAAGAGATTTGTTGGGTGGAGAAGCAGATGATAGATTTGGAGTGGAGAAAGGGGACCACTTTGAAACAACTGTGAGGAAAAAAGGAGATGGTATGAATCTGAGCTCTGAGGTGAAGGCAAAAGGGACAAAGCTTCGGAAGAGAGTAGGAGAAAGCCTCTTGGCTAGAAGAGCGCACAGAAACAATGAAACAAAGTTCAAATGTTAAAATTTTTTTTTTTTAAATATATTTTATTGATTATATACAGAGAGGAAGGGAGAGAGATAGAGAGCTAGAAACATCGATGAGAGAGAGTCACCGATCAGCTGCCTCTTGCACACCCCCTACTGAGGATGTGCCCGCAACCGAGGTACATGCCCTCGACCGGAATCGAACCCGGGACCCTTCAGTCCCCAAGCCGACGCTCTATCCATTGAGCCAAACCGGTTCCGGCAAATGTTAAAATTTTTTAAAGTAAATTATTGAATATGTTAGAATAGGAGAGGAAATTATATGAACTCATGTATGAATAACCCATATTCTTTAATCTTTTGCAACTTCTTCCTAGAGTTGTATCAACCTTTTGCCATTTCTGAGCAGGGAATCTCTACCATTTTACCTGTAAACTTTTCATTATCTATTTCTAAAAGAGACTCTTAATTTATATGCTCTACATTAAAATTTTTAATTTTTTAATTTTATTTATTTTTTTATAGAGAGTGAGAGATTGGGTGAAGACAGAGAGATTGAAAATTAGAAAGACTTTTTTTTTAATTTTCTCTTTATATTTGTGTTGAAGCAATATAAAAGAATTTTCAGTAGTTTATTACAGTTTGTATTTTACTGATTACTTAACTCTATGCATTATTTTAGGTTTGCCAGAGAAACAGAACCAATAGTATATATCTGGAAAGACATTTATTAAAAAGTATTGGTGCCGAAACTGGTTTGGTTCAGTGGGTAGAGCGTTGGCCTGCAGACTGAAAGGTCCCTAGTTCAATTCCAGTCAAGGGCATGTACCTTGGTTGCGGGCACATCCCCAGTGGGGGGTGTGCAGGAGGCAGCTGATCAATGTTTCTCTCTCATCGATGTTTCTAACTCTATCTCTCTCCCTTCCTCTCTGTAAAAAATCAATAAAATATATATTTTAAAATAAAATAAAATGTAAAAAAAAAAAATATTGTTTAACAAGGTTGTGGACCCTTAGATATCCTATGATCTGTGTTCTCTATAAACAAGAAACCCAAGAAAGTTAGTTGTGTAGTTGGAAGGCTGAGAGTCTGAGAGAAGATGGTAGATTTCAGTGTGAGTCTTAATGACTAAGAACCAAGAAAACCAGGATAGGGATGGATGTGCTAGCTAATATCTGTTTTTTATTATTTATTTTTTTAACATTTTATTGATTTTGTACAGAGAGGAAGGGAGAGAGATAGAAAGCTAGAAACATCAATGAGAGAGAGTCATCGATCAACTGCCTCTTGTACACCCCCTACTGGGGATATGCCCGCAACCAAGGTACATGACCTTGACCGGAATTGAACCCGGGTCCCTTCAGTCCCCAAGCCGACGCTCTATCCATTGAGCCAAACCAGTCTCGGCTATTATTTATTTTTTTAAAGAGGTAGGGAGAGAGAATGCCAGAGAAATATCAATGTTAAAGAGATACCTTGATTAGTTGCCTCTTTTACATGACCCAACTGCAGATGGAACCCTTGAACTTGTGGTGCATTGGACAACACTCCAACAAACTGAGCACTCTGATCACTCTTTTATATATATGTATAATTTTTATATTATATATATATATATATATATGTATGTATATATTACTATTCATAATTGGTTTTTACTGTGAGGAGAATGGTGGGAAGAGAGGGAGAGAGAGAAAGATTTGTTCCACTTGTTTTTGCATTCATTTCCCTGGCCACAAGAAGAACCTGAAATCTTTTTTTTTTAGAACCCAAAATCTTGACATATCTGGACCATACTCCAACCAACTGAGCTACTAGCTAATATCATTCCCCCCTGCAAAAAAAAAAAAAAAATATATATATATATATATATATATATATATATATATATATATTTTTTTTTCATTATTACTTTAATTGATACAGTCAATGTCCATTTAAAACCCATATCCAATGACAAAAAGTATAAATAAAATTTTTTAAAAAGTGTGTGTTCTGTCACACACCCTTCTGCATGAATAATTTTATTTTATTTATTTGTTTATTTATTTTTAATATATTTTATTGATTTTTTACAGAGAGGAAGAGAGAATGATAGAGAGTTAGAAACATAGATGAGAGAGAAACATCAATCAGTTACCTCTTGCACACCCCCTACTGGGGATGTGCAACCAAGGTACATGTGCAACCAAGGCCCTTGACCGGAATCAAACCTGGGACCTTTCAGTCCACAGGCTGACACTCTATCCACTGAGCTAAACTGGTTTCAGCCGCATGAATAAATTTAATAAATGCTAATGAAAATTGAAACTCTTGCCCAGCCGGTGTGGCTCAACCCATGAACCAGGAGGCCCTGAGTTTGATTTCAGGTCAGGGCACATGCCAGGGTTGCAGGTTCCATCCTCAGTAGGGGTCCTGCAGGAGGCAGCCGATCCATGATATTCTCTCTCTCTCTCTCTCTCTCTCTCTCTCTCTCTCTCTCTCTCTCTCTCTCGCTTCCTCTCTGAAATCAATAAAAAATAAAAAAATTCGAGACCGGGATCCTGAAAGGCCAGGATAACTGGGAGGATGAGCCCAGTCAGTTGTCCTCAGAAGACACAGAGGCAGATGAACTGTGGGCCTCTTTGGAGGCAGCTGCCAAGCACAAGCTCCCTGACTTGGAACAGACATTGGGGGCCTTCCAAACCAGACGGAGAAAGAAGAAGCGGCCTGGCTCTACTAGCCCCTGAAGGGCCCGGTCTCACTTTGTAAATAAACAGCTGACACCCCCCCCCCAAAATAAATAAATAAATAAATAAATAAATAAATAAATAAATAAAATAAATAAATAAAAATTTCTTAAATATTGTGATGAGAAACGAATTGGTCTAGGTAACATACTATTCATATAGCGTGAGAAAGATGAATGCTGATTGAACTTTTAAATATGGATCTCTTTTTGTCCAAAGAAATCACTTATGACATGGGTGGTGCTTGGATTTTGACCAGAGTCTACGGCTGATCTTCACTTGAGGATCCAGACATTAAATTCAGAAGGAGTAGGTGACAGAAGACTGGACATCAGCTGGCCACTAGAACTCTTCTTGGAAGCTCCTACTGACTTCCCAAGAGCGGGAGGCCTGAGCAGACCTCAGCTTCTCACTTTTCCTCACTCCTGCAGGATCACACGGACTGATGAGAGCCCTTTCTAATAGACACCCTCACTGCACAATGGCCTTTGACGCTTCCCTGGCCAAGCTCCAAGCAGAGGCCAGCTGCCCCCTCTGCCTGGATCACCTGAGAGACCCAGTGACAATTGACTGTGGGCACAACTTCTGTCCCTCCTGCATCCACCAGCGCTGGGAAGGTCTACAGGGCACCTTTCCTTGTCCTGTCTGCCTCCACCACTGCCCTGACAGGAGCTTGAAGAGGAACCCCCAATTATGTCACATGACTGAGATTGTTCAGCAGATCCCCACCATGAGGAGAAAGAGGAAAAGTCAAGAAAAACTCCTGTGTAAGAAGCACCGTAGGGTTCTGGTTCTGTTCTGTGAGAAGGACCTGCAGCTGCTGTGTGCCCAGTGCAGGGTTGTGTCCCACCACGAGAATCACCCCCTGGTCCCCATTGAGGAAGCTGCTGCTAATCACAGGAGGATGCTCAGAAAGCACATTGGGGCCCTCACTAATCACCTTGAAGTTGCTGAAACTGTATACAAAAGACAAGTTGCTAATACTTCGGAAGTGAAGAGAAAGATGGAAAAATGGAGGGAGGAATTGGACTTTGAATGTAAAGAACTTAAGTGTTTCTTGGAAACAGAGCGAGATGAAATTGAAAATGATCTACTTATAGAAGAGAATGATGTTGAAGAAAAACTAATTGAAAATGGATGGCAAATTTCGTACCATATTTTCAGGCGAAGCAATCTGTTAAGTGAAATAGAAGACAAGTGTTTGCCTACAGACCTGGACTTACTCACGGATATTGCAAGTATCCAGAATAGGTATGGAAACCTAGAGACCCCAGCAGTCTTGTCATGTAAATTACAGAAGGAGTTTTTCACTCTCCCCCCACATTATTTGGGCCTGCACAAAATGATCCGCATGTTTCAGGTAGAGTTGACACTGGATCCTAAAACTGTCCATCCTGACCTCAATATGTCAAGTGATAGAAGAAGTGTGACATATACAACACCAGATGGTTTTCCTAAGCCCCAAGATCTTACTTCTTACCCAGCTGTCCTGAGTTCTGAGGGAATTGATGCTGGCAGGCATTTTTGGGCGGTAAAAATAACAGGCCTAGGTGAATATTTCTTAGGTGTGTGTAAAGAATCTTTCCTCAGAAATAATCAAATATCACCATCGGCAAACAATGGATACTGGGAATATCAGCTCTTGACCCGGACATGTGGCACTGTCCCTGTAGGGGAACGGATGATTGGCATTTTTCTGGACTATGATTTGGGGGAGGTTTCATTTTATAATTTGAATAACAGGTCATACGTGTATGGAATTGCTGATACATTTACAGAAAAACTTATGCCTTATTTCTCCATTGCATCTTCTTCAGAATCTCTTACAATCAGCATCATCAGAGTATAGTAATGGCAATTTGGATGAAATTTTGTAGGTGCTTATTTCCTCCCATGTTATTGAAAGGAAAAAACATAATAAAGATCCTGATTCCAGTTTTGATGTTTGAATGTTGAAAGCTTTTAGGATGCATCCTTCTCTCCGCCCTGACCTTATACCTGGGAAAGCTGATGGGAAAGACCAGGTGCTCCATCCTTGGGTGCAGGTGGGAAGTTCCAATCAAGCAAGTTTCCATCGGCAACACCCAGCAACCAACATAAACACCACAAGCTAGTCCCTTTTCTCTGTGTTCTCGGTCATTTTAATTCCTATTCTAAGACCCTCTGACCCCACAAAACCTCATCATATGTGAAATAACTTATTCATACTCTCGTGGTATGTAGTGAGCCATCATCAATGTGAAGATTTGAAACCAATTTTGGATGCTCCACCATGACTATGCAAGCTGGTCACCACCTTTGACATTGAGAGCAGGATTATGCAGATATGAAGACCCCGGGGCTTCCTCCTCTGGCTTTGGTAATGCACTCTGGTGTCCTGTATGGGTGTCCTTGTAGTTTGTGCTGCATTCGCTGAGTTTTATGGAGTCTGTGTTGTAGATTTAGAAGTTTTGATAAGAAATACATTTAGCCCTGGCCTGTTTGTCTCAGTGGACAGAACATAAGCTTTCAGACTGAAGGGTCCTGGATTCAATTCCAGTCAAGGGCACACGCCTGGTTTCAGGCTTGATCCCCAGTAGGGGGCATGCAAGAAGCATCTGATCAATCATTCTCTCTCATCATTGAGGTTTCTATCTCTCCCTCTCCCTTCCTCCCTGAAATCAATAAAATATATATATTTTAAAAAATACAGTTGTTTCATCTTGAAGGGTGTTTGCTGATTTTTTTCTGAAAGATCTGCATTTAATACCAGTCTTTGCAGGTGACATCATGATCTTCCCTGCTCAAATTGATGATCACTGCACCTGTTTGGGAATAATAATTCAGAAAGGATATCCAAGTAAAATCTGCAGACGTTTTCTGATTATTTCTGGTATTACATTTCTCATCATTCATAACCTGATGGCCATTTATGAAAATGTTGGAAGTCACCACAATCCAACTAGAATTACCAAGGTGTCTCATTAACAAGGGTCAAATTAATGCCTCACAAAGGGAGAAACAGAAGGACATCAAGTCAGAATGATCTTAAATTAAACTTGGACATCTTTGGGCTTTTGGGACTTTTTAAAGTCTTGAGCATTTTTAAATAGAAATAAATTTCTGCTTCACAAACTTGGTCTGCTTTTGGTTGCTTTTGTTTGTTCCCTACTGCCTGTATCATATGGCCTTGGCAGGGTAGTGAATTGGTTACAGCATATTCTTGCTACAACAAGGTTAGGGATTTAATCCCCAGCCAAGGCACAGATGAGTGAAACAACAAAACCATGTTTCTTTCTCTCCCCTACCTATGTAAAATAATAATAATAATAATAATAATAATAATAATAATAATACATTTTCGCCAAGCCAGTATAGCTCATTAATTGAGAATCGAACCATGAGCCAGGGATTCAAGGTTAGATTCCCAGTAGGGCCCGTGTGGGAGCCAGCCAATTGTCTCTCATCATTGATGCTTGCATCTTTTTACCTTTTCCTTCCTTTCTGAAATCAATAATATATATATACTTTTTTTTTTTTTTTTAAAGAAACTAATTTTATTTGCTTGGTATTATTTTCCATATAATTTTTTTTGGAATTTTAATTGTCTTGCTTTTGTCTCAGGTTTTATAAAATTTTCATGTACAGTGCTGAGCAAAAGCAGGTTGACAGTAGTGATACAGATATGTATAGTAATTAATAACAAAAAATACAAGAATAAACTTTTGCGTATTAACAACTATAAACATACTTTTTTTTTTTTTTTTAATCCTCACCTGAGTCTTAGCCACTTTTGCTAAGTGGACAGAGCATTGGCCTGCAGACTGAAAGGTCCTAGGTTCAATTTCAGTCAAGGGCACATGCTTCTGGTCAAGGGCACATGCTGTGGCTGTGGGCTCAAACTCCTAGGAGGAGGTGTGCAGGAGGCAGCTGATCAATGATCTCTTATTCTTGATATTTTTATCTCTCCCTCTCCCTTCATCTCTGAAATCAATAAAAAAAAATATATTTTCTTATTTTTTAATACTCACCTGAGGATATGCTTATTGATTTTAGAAAGACAGAGAGAGAAAAACATTGATGTGAGAGAAACATTAATTGGTTGTTTCCCATACATACCACCACTAGGGTTGGAATAGAAAATTATAGGTGTTTACCCTGACATGAAATCAAACCAAGTACCTTTTGGTGTATGGGGTGATTCTCTAACCAACTGACCCACACTGGTCAGGACAAGACCAAAACTATTTAACCAGATCATTTGGGTTTGAATCTACCACTTAAAATGTAATTGAGCACAGGGCTCCATGGGAGATGGCTATGATGTTATGACATGAACATTACTGAGTTAATACACAAGTTCTGTTTTCAAAATGTTTTGCCCTTGCCAGGTAACTCCATTGTTTGAAGCATCATCCCATTATGATTCAATTCCTGGTCAGGCATATGTACAGGTTGTGGGTTCCATCCCTAGTCAGAGCATGTCTCTCTATCTCTCCCCTTCTCCCTATGTTCCCTCTCCCTCTCCCCTCTCTTCTCTCCTCCTCCTTCTCTCTCTCTCCCCTCTCTCTCCTCTCTCTCCTCTTCAGCCCAGGCCTCCCTGGAAGAACAGGGTTCACCAAACAGTTACACCTTCATTGCACTGCACTGATATTCTACCAAGCAGCTTGGGGGGCAGCAGCCATCCAGGCCAGGCTTCCCTAGGGGCTTAATAGCAAACACTTGGGTTTGGTTTGGATGGAAACTCTCATATGTTGTGTTCTGCCCATTGCTCCTGATAAAATTACCTGTGAGGGAGTTTGAAAACAATCAGATCTTGGCATATTTCACAGACCTAGAATGAACTTTCCAAAAATTCATCTGAAATAAAAAAGACCCCTGAATAGCCACAGCAATCCCGAGAAAGAAGAATAATACCAGATAAGCTGTATTACAAAGCCACTGTTCTCAAAACAGTCTGGTACTGGCACAAGAACAGACATATATATAGATCAATGGAATGGAATAGAGAACCCAGAAACCAACCCAAAAAACTATGCTCAATTAATATTTGCCAAAGAAGGCATGAACACACAATGGAGTCACGACAGCTTCTTCAATAAATGGTGTTGGGAAAATTGGACAGATACATGTAAAAAAAAAAAAAAAAAAAAAAAAAAAAAAAAAAAAGAAGAAAGAGAAGAAAAAGAAAAAAGAAAGAAACTAAACCACCAATTTACACCATACACAAAAATAAATAAACTCAAAATGGATCAAGGACTTAAACATAAGAAGGGAAACCATAAAAATACTAGAGGAATCCACAGGCAGCAAAATCTCAGACTTTTGAAATCAGGAATTTCTTCACTAATACTGCTCCTAGGGCAATGGAAACTAAAGAGAAAATAAACAAAAGGGATATTTACAACAAAATGAAAAGGTTTTGCATAGCAAAAGAAACCGTCAACAAAACAACAAGAACCTATTTGCCAATGTTATCACTGATAAGGGTTTAATCTCCAATATTTACAGGGAACTCATACAATTTAACAAAAGGAAGATAAACAAGCCAACCAAAAAAAAAAAAAAAAAAAAATGGGTATCAAACCTAAATACTTTTCAAAAAACGACGGAAGGAAGTTCAAGAGATATATGAAAACCTGCTCAAAGTCACTAATTACCTGAGAGATGCACACCAAAACGACAATGAGGTACCATCTCACACCAATCAGAATGGCTATCATCAACAAATAAATAAACCACAAGTGCTGGCGAGGATGTGGAGAAAAAGGAACTCTCATACACTGCTGGTGGGAATGCAGACTTGTGCAGCCACTGTGGAGAACAGTATGGAGTTTCCTCAAAAAAACTAAAAATGGAATTTCCATTTGACCCAGTGATTCCACTTCTAGGAACATATCCCAAGAAACTAGAAACACAAATTAGAAAGAATATATGCACCCCAATGTTCATAGCAGCATAATTCACCATAGCTAAGATTTGGAAACAGCCTACATGCCCATCAGCAGATAAGTGGATTAAAAACTGTGGTACATCTATACAATGGAATACTATGCTGAGGTAAAAAACTTGAGTTCTTACCATTTGCAACAGAATGTATGGAACTGCAGGGCATTATGCTAAGTGAAATAAGCCAGTCAGGGAAAGATAAATAAGGCATGACCTCACTCATTTGTGGATTATAATGAACAACGTTGATTGGTTGCCTCCCCTAGACCAGACCTTGAACCGACCTTGGGCTGGGGAGGAGCCTGCAACAAAGGTATGTGCCCTTGATTGGAAATGAACCCAGGCGTCCTTGGTCCATAGGCAAATGCTCTGCCCACTGCACCAAACCTGCTAGGGCCAGATTTCCTCAAGAAACTATACTCCTGCTGAAACCGGTTTGGCTCCATGGATAGAGCGTTGGCTTGGGGACTGAAGGGTCCTGTTTCGATTCCGGTCAAGGGCATGTACCTTGGTTGCAGGCATATCCCCAGTAGGGGGTGTGCAAGAGGCAGCTGATCGATGACTCCCTCTCATCGATGTTTCTAACTCTCTATCTCTCTCCCTTCCTCTCTGTACAAAATCAATAAAATATATTAAAAAATAAAAATAAAAAACATTCAAACATCAAAACTGGAATCGGGATCTTTATTATGTTCTCCTTTCAATAATAAGGGAAGAAACTACCTTAAGCACATACAAAATCTACATATTTTTCATCATTGGATTTTGATGATATGGATTGTATGAGATTCTGAAGAAGATGTACTAGAAAAATAAAGCATAAGTTTTTCTCTAAATGTATCAGTGAACCCATTCAAGTATGACGTGTTATTTAAATTATAAAATGAAACCTCTCCCAACTCATAGTCCAGAAAAATGCCAATCTTACACTATCCTATAGGGGAAGAGCCAAATATATTAGTCCAGCATTCATTCCTTGGGGATGATGATATATGAATATTTCTGGG